GAATATGGAAGGCGGCACCGCTTCATCTAACTCTGGAAAGCAAACTTAAAAAGTATGCCAGAAAATTTCCAGTATTGTATTATCTATGCAAAAGTGGTCCACGGGCGAATGAAAAATTGTCAACATCTTCCTCCAATTCGCAGTTAAAACACTTTGTCAGATTAAATTAGAATAATTTGTTTGGATTTTTTTGAAAGAGACATCCATCAAGTGAAAACTTCTGCCACCTCATTTCATATCAGCTCTCAGCGACTCTGGGGAAAATGTAAAAATCAGCAGATGCTTTATTCTTGGTCATGCTCGCATCGACACCCGAGCATAATGCGCTCTTCTTGGTCATTTATTATTAATGTGACAGCAACAAATTGGCCACACCTGTTGCCAGTTGGATTTCAGAGTGTCCTGTGTGTTTGGGAAGTCGTTCTAGTTATTAATCATACCTGTTCGGAGCATTTTCCTCGCTCCCTAACAGCATCCGTGTGCCAGCTACACTGCTTCATCTTGTAAAATGTCAGAGCTCTGCATCACACTGCGCACATTTAATCTGAATCTCTAATTAAAATGAGTAGCAATACGATTATGTCATAAACAGGCAGCTGCAGTCTGAACAGACAGCCAGAGAGACAAAGATGTATATGTCTTATTAATATCCTCTTGAGTGTTTAAAACCCCTGAATCTGGACCTGAAAATGCTAACAGATCATTAACTGAAGCACTGATTTGTGAAATGAGGACAACAATAAAAAGAATTGCAGAGTCAGGAAGTGTTTTTGGAACAAATGCCTACTCATGAACTACATATCTTTAAGGGCTTTTTTTCTGTTTGCATTCACACCACCAACAGAAATGTTAACGGCCCATTTGTGCACACTACATCGGTCACTTCGACCACAAGCAGTGATGTCACCACTGCTGAGGGCATGAGGACTCGCTGCAGTAATCTCCTGATAGGTGTCACCACACAGACAAAAACCTCCAGGTTTCTTCTTGTTCAAAGGGAGTTTCTCCTTTCCACTTGGGGACAGCACCTTGAAGTTAATCTTATAAATATAAATGAAATGGAAATTAATTCCACTTATGATTTGTGCCAGATTTACCAACATGCATTTGGCTAATATTTTCTCTAGCCTTTGTAAACCCTAGATTTCATACACATGTCAACTATTAAATGGATTCTTTGTCAGTAGGGCTGTGGAATTAATAACATTTGCGTACAATTATGGCTTTATTGAGATGAAATATTTTTTTCTGCATGCTTTTAGTTTTTTGCAGTAGTGCTATCCTTATGTCTTTTCTCAAAAATGTCATATTCACTTAAAAGTGGTGGAGAGGTTTCAGTCAGCTCGACTCAAGATAACAGGAACTGTTCAGATTTTAACAGTAAAGCCACTTACGCTGGAAATACTTCTTCATCAGTATGTCCAGCTGATCAGACATCTTAAAATCAAAAATGTTGTAAAAGTAAGCTGATTGTGTTAATTAAAAACAGTCTCAATATGCTTACATAAGTAAAGGTTCCTTGTTGCTCGGGGTTACCTACTCTATAATAGAAGCTAAAAGCCTGTCTCAAAGGCCCTGTGTTGAACATTTAGTACAAGGCAACACCAGTAATCCAAACACAGAAAGGACCAGTTGGAAGAATAGGTCAGTAAAATCTCTGAAGGGATTGTCTCACTATTCAAAGCTTTAAAAGTTCAAATAAAATCCGAAGCTGACAGAAACCCAGTGAAAAGAATTTGGAAATTGAAAAGAGATGATTAGCGTTTTGGACTGATGGAAGTTGATTCAGAGACGACTTGTTAAGACTTTTACAGTAACTGATTGAGAAGAGATGAAAAACATGAGCAGTTTTCTCCAGTTCCAGCTTGGAATTCACAAGAATAGACTTAGCAATGGTCCTTACGTAGATGGAAAAAAATTAGATCCTGACAGGAAGCTGTCCAAGATAACCTCAAGGTTACATGAGCTGGATTTAACAGAGGAACTTGGCAGACCCAAGGCATTATTTGATCTTTGATATGGTGCTATCTGGAACAGTTGTTACGAGTCTCTGTTTTGCTAAAATTTAACTGTAGAGGTTAAGCACTTAACTAAGACCTGATGGCAGTCAGGCAGTTATTTAGATCAGCAAGGTCAGAAAGAAAGACCAACCGGATGTCATCCGCAAACAAATGGTAAATCAAACATCTGTTTAAGAGCCCTTTTCTGAAAAGGAACGATTAATAGAGACTGAGAACATTTTGAGATGAGATTTAATCCAGTCTAATGCAAGTATTGACAGATGATCTCAGATCAAACACAACAAGGGAAGTATTGTTACTGGCATCTGAAGGCATTAAAATTAAAGGAATTGAATGTTTTTAAAGGAAGATAAGACCATCAGCAACCAAAACAACAAACCCATTATTTGATGATACACTGACACCAAGTTGAACCTAACCAGAAACTGAAGGGTCAGCAAGAGAGATGTTTTCAGTCAGGATTTGAATAACAGGAGGCTGTTGCATAGTTACAGAAAACTCTGTCCTGAATATTTCCTTTGTTTTGTGATTTTGTTAAGAATTTCTGCACATTTTTAGCTTTGAACTTGTTCTCTCCTCAGCGAAGGAGCCTTCTAGTCATTTAAAGAAAAACACCATTAGTTTTCTCTGCTAGGTAATGAAACATGCAGTCTTCACAATGCAAAAGTAATTGTTCCCACTTAATGATCGTTATTGGATCCATTATCACGGCTGTGCTCCCTGATTTTACAAGACAAGGCACCAGAAATGAAATATACCTAGTAAAACAAAAAGAGCTCCGGCCTTTCTTTCTCACATAGGCGGCAGATTTGCATCAGTGTTTGTTTAGCATACAAAAAAAATAATGTGTTGGATTTTCTGTTTAATTAGCCGTCTTCCCAAACCTTAAAATGACAAAACCCAGTGTGAAACGCAGAAAATTTCATGCGCCAAAGTCCTTCTGTCGCACTCTGTCATTATGTCATGATGGCTGCGGTCCATCATGGTCTGCATACTTGCCACCAAGCCTCCATTATTCACACCACAGTGCGAAGTGGAGGCAAACTGGAATTGATTCTGTCTGAGTACACAGACCCACAGCTTTCACACGAAGAGGCCTGGAGCTGCAGCATTTAAGCATAAGTCTAGCCTCTTTTTCTTTTTTTTCCCTTTCTCCTTCAACATGGGCCCTATTTTCTCATCTCTATCCATCTTAGCAATCGATTCTGACCAAAATCTCATCAATTGCTTTATTATGGAGCTACTTACATCTTGTTTGTCTGGGTGCAGCTTTCCAAAGAAGTCCTAAAGGATCAGTGGACTCTACACCATGTCTTATTAACTCATTTGATGCAAAAATGAAGCTGGCAGGTGCTGTTAGAGAAATCCAAAGCTGATATTGACCTGATTGTTGCTTTACTGCGTTTTTTCTTTCTGTTTTCGTTGGACAAAGCAGCTGGCCTTTAAAATGTGTCTGAACTCTTACATGATAGAGTTCGTGTGTAGTGTTTGGGATCGTTTCATATGCAGACGTGTGCTTCAAATATATAGTATAATTCTGGGGCTGCTGTGTGTCGGCTTAGGCAGAATTTTGACATTTCCAAATGGTCACCATCAGTCCAACATGTTAGGTTGGATGTGCTGATCCAAATCACCTGTTTTGGATTATTTTTGTTTTAAACCAAAAAGATAAAAGGCCGACATTACGCAGCATCTAAATTAGAAGCATTAGGGTGTCAACACCAGCCTGCCAGAGGGCTCGACTGCCTCTCTGGATGGCTTTACAAAGAATGAATTTTGTATTTAAATCATTATCAACTCAGATTTTGTAATAAAATCTCCTGTTATTTTTACACGTGGCCCATTGACTTCAGTTAAATAAACAAATGGCTGGGGGCAACATGTGCTATCTTATACTTGAGGCAGCTAGCTTGCCCGTTGTACACTGTTATTTCAAAAGTTTTAAACTTTTAAGTTTTACTCGGCAGTACTTAATATCAGCTACACTATAAAATCGTCTCCAGGAGCGCTACATTTGTCTGTTCTACTATTACTAATGGGACTGTCCATCAGTCACTGTGTTAAACTATCAACTTACCCTCAGCTAAGGGAAAAGAAGAAGGCTTGTTCACCACATTGATTTACTGAGTTCATTGTCAGGAGGCAGAGCACTAAATTAGCATAACACCAAAATCCCGCGCAAAAATTTAATGATAATAGACTTGAGGGATTGGCTATATTAGCAACCAGTTGGAAAGTAGGGGGAAAGACAAGAGAAGTAAAGTTACAAAAAGGGAACCTTATGTTAACTAAGCAGATTTACCAGTTCTCATAGTCCAGTGCTTAGAAAAACTTGATCACACTTTGTAAGTAATATTTATCACTGAAATTTTACCACCTAATTTTAGCGCCTAAAACTAACCGACTAGCTTTACGCTTCCAAACTTAACTTGGACCTTCTTGGATATATTGATCCAATCTCCCAGCCCTAGTTCCACTTCTATAAGCATCTATTTCAAGATAAAAGCAGCCGTTAGTTGAGAGTGGCATATTTTTCATGTCTGATTTCTCTGTAGCTCCATGTTGGTGTCCTCAGCTGAAGGTCTGACTCTCTGAGCTCAACCTTTCTGCCTCTTACATGACTTCTGTCGGGAAAGTTTTGTGTGTCTGACATCAGCGTGCTGTTGCTGTTAACTTGTGTTTGTTTGGCTTCACTGTGATCTTCTGTTCTTTTCACACATCATTCAGTCTCTATTTTCAGCATCATTTTAAGTTCCTAAAATGTACCATCTTGCCTTTGGAACCATGCTTATTAACCTCTTCATGATCCATGTGGGATAAGAAACTAGAAGCCCTGCTCTGGAGCGCAAGAGGGGAACAAAAGGTTATTCAGGGCTGACTTATCATGTCCTGCTTTTTTATCTGCCTCTATTTCATCCACTAACTGAAAGAAGATAGCAATAATTTCTCTGTTTGCTTCTTATGTTCCTTTTCAACAAGCACGCCTTTCACATTATGGTGGAGGTAAGAGCAGTTTAAATGAAAACACTGTTAGTTTTCCCTCCTTTTTGGGTTCAGAGCTTGGTATGAATTCTCCACCTCAATCCCAGACCACCATTTTGTGTCTTCTTTAGTTGACTTTTCTTTTTTGTGCCTGGATTGTTTGCATGGGTGGATGGTTGTGTATTTTTTTTTTATATATATATATTTTTTTAATTGTTTCTTGCTGAAGATGCATTGTGCATGGCGGAAAATGGCCAACGCGGCTCTGAATGCAGCCCTCCTTTTATATTTTTCTTTGTATGAATGTCCACCTGTGATGTTTATGTAACACATTGTGTGTGATGTGACCCAGTTTCCAGAATGGTATCTGCTCAGACCTATGGCTCACCATTTTTCCATGCAGAGATGGCAGAGGTGTTTGAAACTGAAACTGCGGCTTGCTTTTCCATCTCATTTGCAGACTGAGGAGGAGTACAGATACGTTTTTACATAAGTAGGAGCTTTGCCACTTATCTGGAACATTTTTCAAGTGAGAGAGTGTAAATTGCTTAAGTACAAGGGAAGCATAAGCCTCTTGCAAATGTACCTTGGCTCAAAATTTAACAAATTGGAGTCGAAGTATGGCGCCAGACCTTTCTGGGGGAAAAAAAGTAACTCACTAAATAACTCGGGGATTTTAGTCCCTGGCCTTGCTCCTTTAAGGTCATGTCAACCACTTTTTGTTGTTGACATGGTCTCAAGTTTTACGGCCATATCAACAACAGGAAATGACCTTACAATAATGGAGTTTTAGCCAGAATACCTACTCATTGTCCTAAAACCAAGCTTGGCATTTTGGTTTTGTTAGATCTACTTATCTGCACCTAAACCCAGGACACCCAAACCAGACTGAAAGACCTGTTTTGATGTAATAGATGAAGGTGTAACTTGATTAGGCCATAGGAGATGGTTGAGGGTTGGGAGGAACGGCGTGAAGCAGCAGATTCTGTTTTCCTGTTTCCTGTGGTCTGCTGACTAAGTGTAATGCGCCCCCATTTGAGGCCACAGCGCCCTGCGATCGGACAAGGGATCCGGTGACTCCCACAGGACGCCTGGCGGGCTGGGCCCCCTCGTCAGGCTGAAACCCAGAAGAAAGACGAGTTTTCAGAAGCGATGGAGAAAAGAAGAGCGTCCTGCAATGACAGGTCGTCTTCAGGATTGTGTCTGATGCTTATCAGGCAAATCCATAGTGGCTTATATCTTTAGGGTTTTAAGATGACGTTCTCATACGTTTTTGTTTTTTTGCCAACATTGGGGTTTTGAGCATGGCCACATCCTTCTGTGATCAGAGTGAGCATCAAATACTTTTCTGAGGAAAAGTTAATACCATGCATGTGTTTACTGACGATTTATTGATCACATCAACACCAAATCAGTTTTAATTTTCAGTCAGAACAAAATGTACCAGAGCTTATTGTTCTGACAAATTACTATGCACGGTAAAATGGTCCTGAGCTGATTTAAATACTGAACAGAATCATAATCAGTTATACTGCCAAGAGCGATAGATGCACTGGAATTCTTCTTGATTGCTTTTTTGCAAGCTTATGTAACACAACAACTCGTCTAATTATACTTTTATTGTCAAATTGGAATCGGAATTTAAAATGTTGGACTACAAAGCCCAGGAAAGACACAGGAAGTTGATTTGAGACAAATTAGAGAACTGTTTTGTAACAGTGAACAGAGCTCGTGTCCTGATTTTGTTAACGAAACCATGATCAGAATAACAATCATATCAGAAAGTGAGCTTAAAGTGGACATGTTTTTCTCGTTTACAGCTCCTCATTTATATTTTCGGACTCAAATAGAGTAGCTTTGTGTGATTCCAAGTTGAAAGTAACCCTTAATTCAGCCCCTCAATTCATCTACTTTCTGAAACGAGACATTTTCAGAAACTTTCATCTGATTGGCTGTTCCATATAAACACAAGGTTTGAACAGCAGGTAGGTCAGGCTTTTGTGCCCTCCTGACATCATATAAAGCAAAGAGTATTACAAACTCTTACTTGTATTTACTCTGACCTCATCATTTTTAACTTTGCTTTTCATGTTTATTATGAGCATCCACTTCTGGAACGAGATATATTTAACAAGAAAATAAGCATAATAACTCCTTTTTAATGGATGTACTAGAAACTGCTTTCATCCTCTTTTCTGGCATAAAGAGTCCTTCAATAGCAAGTGTTTGTTGACCTATTTTCACTGAAAAGTGTCCCCACTCATATTTACTGCTAAGCTATTCTGTTTATTCTTTTTTTCGCCCCCGTTCTACTTTCCTGATTCTGGAAAGAAATGATAATCTTCACCCCACCTTCTCTGGACCTCATCAGATGTTGGGTTGTCGTAAGGCAGATTCAGAGTCTTACATTGGTATCTCTGTACACAGAGCGAAACCCGTGTTGAGGCTGTGGTTTCATACATGCAGTCACTCAACAAACATCTGATGGCTTGGCATTGGTTGGAATGGAGGTTTGAACCAGAAAGGGAATTAACCAGTTACCACGAAGAGAAAGAAGGCTGAACCATTTCTCTTTGTTGTTTAGGTCATGGTAAAAATCAAAACTTTAAAGTCTTGTAATGCTCATTTTCTAAGTTATGGTCCCCATTAGAGTCAAAAAGGATGATGAAAGCAAGGTATTCTTGAGTCAGGCTCACCCCTCAGTGGTCTCACAATGTTTTAAAACACCAAGATGGCAAAAATGCTCAGTTTAAATATATAGTCAGTCATTTTTCTGATGCATTCTCATAACCATTAAATGTATAAAGTTTTATACATACAACATACAAAGTTTTACAGCCTCTTAAAGAGTAAATAGATATGAATACACATTGACAGCTGAGGTAAACAGCAGACTGACAGCCTACAGCCACTACAGATGAATGACAGCCAGAATAGGCCAGGCCTACAGCAGCCACTCTAGCTAGGATTATGTACTTGAATGGGAATGTTTACTCTTAATAGTGAGATTTTTTTTACACGGGCTTTGCATACACTTGCAAAGTCAACGTTGAGGCATGACCTTCAAGGAGCCTTTAAATAGGTTAGGATCATAAATCAGATATAATTTAATTCAGTTTTATTTATACAGGGCCAAATCACAGTAACAGACACTTTATATTGTAAGGTAGACCCTACAATAATACATACAAAGAAAAACCCAACAATCATATGACTCCCTATGAGCAAGTGCTTTGGCGACAGTGGGAAGGAAAAACTCCCTTTTAACAGGAAGAAACCTCCGGCAGAACCAGGCTCAGGGAGGGGCGGGGCCATCTGCTGCGACCGGTTGGGGTGAGAGAAGGAAGACTGGATAAAGACTTGCTGTGGAAGAGAGACAGAGATTAATAAAACACACTAGAGAAAGGAGGGTGCTGTTAAACAGAAACGTTTACTTGCATATACATTAAAACATCCAGCAGATATTCCAAAACAAGATAGACTAATTCACCTTGTCTTTTTTATTTTGTATTTTTTATTAGTGCCGTCAACGTTAATCTTGTCAAAATGACGTTAACAGCATAACCGCATTAATGCGGCAAATATCTGTTAGCGAGTTAATGTGGATGGCGCCGTGCGTGGGGCTGCACGGCGTCAACGCATTAGCGCAGTTAAGTTGTTAAAGAAGGAAACCTGACTAAGAGGGAAGCAACACAGACAGATGCGGAAAGACATTAAATTCAGTTAAATTCAGTTACCAACAATAATTGAATGGTTTCATATATAAACAAATTCCCGTTACCGAGGCGTCAGATACATAAAGACGTTCAGTTAACCATAGAATAGAGTACATAATTGTGAGTAAGGTCGTCACAGTTGGTAATGAATCTGTGTCTGATTATACACAGTCCAACTTACAAAGAAAGTGAACAGAAACATTTATATACAACAAGTTGTCCCCATCAATTTCTGTTGTACACGAAAAGAAAAACACTGCTTATTTTCTACTATTTCACTCATATAATTAAAGGTTCTTATATGATGCTATAGAAGCACATCACACCACACTTTCAATCATCTGTCCTGCCTGCTGCTGCTGCAGGTTGATCTAAAAGTCCAGACTGGGAGAAATCAGATTTCTGTCCAGTTATTCTTTAACCTATCCCACCTGCCAAAGGACAGGAGGTTGTCAAGTTCATTGATGCACAAAGGTCTGAAATAACAGCCTGCCAAATCCTTCGACTTTAGTTAATAATATCAGTAAGGCTCAGCCGCCAAACTGGAAGCTAGCTTTCTGTGAGTACAGTACGTGCTCCCCAGTCATGGACCAGGCAAGTAAATGATTTGTTTAAAAAAAAAAAGAAGTTTTGAGTTCATCTGATCCTCATTGAAAGTTCATGCCTATATTTAGAAACAGTATCAAAAACAGATGCATAGAAACATTTGTGTGAAACTATACTTTGATTATTTTGCTCAGTACAATGTGTTCTTAAAAATGTTTTCAAGCTGCCATCTAGAGAGCGTTTGGGCCGCTCTGAAATCCAACCTCTGCACCGTGGTGGGTAATTTTCCTCGTCATTTGGCTGGCATTTGGTGTGAAAGCAGTGTGCAGACAGCAGGTCTGCCTCACAGCTCTCTGTTAGAGGGAAAAGGCTTTAAGTAAACACACCAGTTCCCATTCCAATCCTCCATTCCCCTCGCACTGCCCAGAAGAAATGGGCAGCCTGCTCTATATATCTACCAAAAGCAGCACCAGCAATTATTTCATTTATTTTTTTTCTTACACGCTTTTAGATGTTGCAAATTGAAAACACGATCCCTGGGGAGCAGCTTGGTCCTAGAGAAAAGGCCGTTTGACGTGCACCTTCTCGAGACGGACCTCATGACTGCAACACGTCTGCATCATAAATGTCTGTTTTCAGACCTCGACTTTAATCCGTTTGATGGATATTAAGAGGTTTCTGTGGAATTTTTGGTTTGAGGTGCAACGTTATTATAGTAAACTAAAACTAGGTGTGAATGTAAAATAAAAATAAAATTAGACCTTTAGGGAACAAAACTTGAAACAATTTTGTGAGCTTGGGAAATTAAAATCACAAAAGTCTGAAACTAACACTGAAACAGTAAAAAACTAAAATTTTCAAGCAACAAAAACTAAAGAAGATCCGCTCTGAAAACTACCTGAAACTAAATTAAATTAAAAGAAAAGTCAAACGTTAAATTTAAAAGCATTAATTAGAATGAAATAAACTATAATAGCTCTTGTTAGGTGCTAATAACACAGCAGTCATATACAGTCATGTGAAAGGTTTCACCAGACTCTGCACTCTTGTAATAAATGCAGTACACCCCATGATTTCATTTTGCTTGCATAATTGAAAATAAAGAGTCTTGAATTCAGTAGAGCCACGTTTAGCAAAAATAACTTGAAGTAATGATTTTCTGTGTAACTTTATCAGCCTCTCACATCACTGTGGAGGAATTCCGACCCGCTCTTCTTTACAGCATTGCTTCAGTTAATTGAGGTTTGTGGAGGTTTGCTTATGCACAGCTCCCTTCAGGTCCCACCACAGCATTTCAATCATGTTGCGGTCTGGACTTAGACTGGACCACTGCAGGACCTTGATTCTTTTCTTTTCAGCCATTCTGTTGTAGATTTGCTGCTGTGCTTGGGATCATTGTCCTGTTACATGACCCTGTCAGATAGACAGCCTCGCATTTGACTCTAGGATACTTTGGTATACAGAGGAGTTCATGGTCGACTCATTCACTGCAAAATAAATCCAAATCGCCTCTCTACCACGGTACTAACAGCTGGTATGAGGTATTTGTGTTGATGTGGAGCTGTGCATCATGACCAAACATCTCCACTTTGGTCTTGTCTGTCCAAAGGACATCGTTCCAGAACTCTTGTGATTTTTCAGATGGGGGGTTTAGAAACCTGCTGCCGTGATCTTTTAGAGAGAATAGGCTTTCTCTTGTAACCCTTCCAAGCAACCCACACTCATTCAGTCTTTTTCCAATTGTACTGTCATGAATTAATATTTAACATGCTAACTGATGCCTGTAGAGTCTGAGATGCAGATCGGGGGGGGTTATGGTTACCTGAACATTGCATGGTCTCACCTTGGAGTTAACTTGATGTAACTTCCATCAATCTACCAAAACTTGAGCTTTAATAGAGATGCTCACACTTGCTGATAAACAGTTAATGAAGTGCATTTGATTAGCAGCGCTTGGCTGCTGCTCCCCCTCTTAATTCCTATGGAAGCCATAAAGTTGGGCCAAATCAATAATGGATTTAGCCTACAGCCATGTGGTTTAAAGCCAACCGATGTCCCTGGCAATAGATGTGCCTGATGGAAAACCTGGACAGCACCTTATTTGTTTCATAAAGGTGCTCGGAACATAATTTCAGACACATACAATTGTGTGTAAAAATGGCTGTACTTCCTGAACAGGTAAATGCAATGAATCAAAACCAGAACTGTGCACTTGAATCATATCTTGATTGTTTGATTTAAAACCCACTGTGGTGGTGTACAGAGGCAAAATTAAACAAGATTAGCTCAGTATGGACCTGACAAAGGATGCGTTGTAGGCGTGTGTTCACTAGATAAAAGTCCTCTTGCACTGCAGAAGGAACAAAACTTAATTGAATTTAATTTGTTTGTAGCCTTTCTTTATCTGCATCCATAGATTTAATTATATGTAGTTAAAAAATAGTTTGATGTATGCAAAATATTTCTGAGCCGACCAGACAATCTGCCACTTTTTGTTTGCTTTAAAGTCAACTTCTCCAAGAAAAAGAGGCAGCTGAGGTTATTTTGCTGTGTTTCTAAAAACTTTGTTGATTTACCCCCACCCTCTCAAACAGTGTCTTGTGTTTGCCAAAACGTAATAAAATGATGAGATTTAGTGAAATGCACATTAAGGCTTCTTCAGCCACACAGTAGCGCTTTGTTTTGTGTGCACTAAAGGCCAGAGTTCAATTTCATCTTGATAAAAATCTAATTCATAAATGTTACTAGAGGATACACAGTTTGCTCCTGTAACCGCAGTAATCTCGCTGTAGCCGCTTCCTCTGCGCTTTTTTTTTTTTTTTTTTTAACGGCTCCTGCTGTTAAACGCTCCTTGGCATGGGCTCATTTTTAACAGTTGGTGTGCGGCTTGGATCTGGCTTTAAGAAAGGTCGTATGCCAAAAACCCTGGATGGTAAATCCAGAAATGAGGTAATATTTGTGCCCTGAAATGCACGTTTTCTTTTCCTTCTGTAACCTCGTGGGTTAGAGCAGCGCTCTTAAATCTGTTAAATCCAGCAGAAACTCAAAAGAGAAACCCTTTCTTTCTTTTACGTGAGCTTAGCGAAACACTCGGAGTGACACGAGTGCACTCCTGATATATTATCGTCGCGTCTGAGTGGATCCTGCAGGCCTCGGGGTCTTGAAACTTGCTGCAGCTCATCAGGCACCTTGTAAGCCTTCAGTTCAAGTGAAAACATGAACATCGCGAAGGGAAAAAAAGCTCCTTCTTCTTCTTTTTTCTTCTTCTTCTTTTCTTACTGACAGCAGAGGCATGCAGCTAAAGTCGAGGTTTTACAGCAGCGTATCTGGTTTCATCAAACGCCATCAGTCATGTGCTACTCTTTCTCCTCTACCTTTTATCCTTTGGAAATGTGACTCCTGCACTGCATGCTTCTTTTTAACCTTCTTCCCCACCCTCGTCCTCCTCCACCTCCCTCTTTCGCGTGCTTTCTCTCTCTCCAGGTCTCGCTATCCTTGCTCGCCCTCTGTCCTCCTCTGTGAAGTCACATGTGAAAGTGATCAGCTTAATCCCGATCACCAGCTGTGTTTAACCTACTTTAGATTTGGAACACTTGGCTTTACTCTCTTTCACTTTTGTTTGTGTGGGATTAGCATGAACGCACAGCACACGCATGCGGTCTGACCCGCCGCCTTTGGCTCTTAAATGTTTTTATTAAATCCATAATTAAACCCTTGCCCAATTTCTTTGTGTGCCTTGCTCAGCGGTTAATCTTCCAGGTTTTGTTTTGTTTTTTCCAACCACCGCCAGCGCACACATTTCATCTGCTGTTTGTCGGATTTAAACTGGCAACCCTCCAGTTACAAACCCGCTTCTGTAAACTTGAGCAAATGCAACTCCTCGAGGGGGTTAATTGAATTTAAAATGAATGTATCCGACCCTGCTCGGTATGCCGTGTCCACACGGTCATATGGAGGCTAAACTTAAATGTGCAGCTCTCCTGAAGCGGACTTTCCCTCATTAGAAACAACAGAAATTTAAAAGTAGATAAAGCACCGAGGCACCACTTTGTGGAAGAAGTCTATAAATGTAAGATTTAAGATGTGGAGACGTTGGCAATTCTGCTGGCCTTAGCTCCTCAGGCACGCTGTCACTGTGAGCCAAACAGCCCGGTCACCTTCAATGTAAGCCCGGTGCTATTTTAATGCTCTGGACAATAAATAAATAAATAAATAAAAAGAATAAAGAATAACACCCGCGTCTCTGTCTCTCTGCAGGATCCCGGACCCTCACCCCCATCCCCAATTCTGGGACACAAACCTCTGCAGCTGATCGAGGTGAAAGCCAGGGGGCGCTTCGGCTGTGTGTGGAAGGCGCAACTGCTGAACGAATACATGGCTGTTAAGATCTTTCCCATCCAGGTACACGTGCTGATTTTTCTTCTTTTTGTTTTTTTACTACAACTGTTACATTAGCCTGACAACTCTTACACCCCCACAAAGTAAAGTACTAAAGGAAAAATGTTCACTGTCTTATCAAATAAAGGCAAAACTAAATGAAAAAAAAAGCAACAACTATAAGAAGTAAAGGAGGTGATTCAAAAACACACACATTGTGAGTATTAATCATTTATCAAATGCCTGTCCACATATCTTCACTAATGACTGTAGCCTGTCACCGCTGCCTTCATATGTCAAAAAGTTATCATGTTTGATATATGACAGTTTATTCAATTCAGTTTTATTCATATAACACCAAATCACAACAACAGTCAAAAAAAATAAGGCCCTTCATATTGTAAGGTAAAAAACCTACAATAACAGAGATAAAACACCAACAATCAGACGAACCCGCTGTGATGAAGCACTTGGCGATAGTGGGAAAGAAAAACTCCTTTTTAACAGGAAGGAGTCATAGACAGAGCCAGAGGGAGGGGCAGCCACCTGTTAGTCGCTTTTTTCAGAATAGAAATAAATACATACGATTGAAGTGAAATAAATACTGTAGAAAGGGATTTATAGTAATTTAAGGTCTTAAAACAGGTGTGCCCAACATTTTTAACATCAAAGACATACTGCTGTAGTTAATGAAATAAATATTTCAGCACATCTCTTAAATTGTAAGAAATAAATTGTGTCATTTGCACCCGTTTAAAAGAAAAGACATTTCTGTTGTAGATAGTCGACAAAACAGGAACAGGATCCATTTAATTTTTGAATGTATGTTTAAGTCCAGAAATTACACTTTCACGTTTTCCAATACTGTCCAATTCTACTCTTTACCGGAGTGATTCTGGACTTATATATGACACTTATGGACATGTCTTTTCATGTCATTTAAACAAAGACGGGCAGTGCGTGATTAAAATATTCACCTCACCTAGTTTTTCTGATGGACTAAACTAACCAAAGCAGCTAAAACCATTTTTGTTCGTTTTTTTAACAATTCTGGAAATCTTTTAGATCCAGCCTCTAGTGGCTGTTAGAGGAACTGCAGATTCCTTTAACTAATAAAAACTAAACTAAAACAAGCAAATCCACTCTGGGAAGTAACTGAAACTAAAATGAAATCAAAAGGAAATAGAAAGGAATAGAAACTGTACCAACTCTGGCTGTATGTGTTTAATTTTCTGGGTAAAATCTAGTTTGGTTACAGGAAAATTCTTCTGATAAGCTTTTTTTTTTTTTTTTTCTAAATTGGGCTAGTGTATCCATTATTTTTCATGCTGGAAGTGGGGAATAAATGAAAAACAGCTAATTAAACTTGTAGCCAACAAGTCTGACAGCTTTTCTAGTGGAAACTTTATAACTCGTCCCCTTTTTTGTTATTTCTGACCTTTTGATAAGCAAAAATGTGTTTTATATTTGAGTAATATTATTGGAATTATTTGGGTGCCGAGTGTCTCTGTTATGAGATGAATTAGAGCTTCTCGGCTGTTTTAATAATGAGTAATAATAAAGCAGCATGTAAAACAAAGAATAGACTAAAATCAGTCTGCATCTCCCAAACTTTCTAACACTAGTCGTGACCTGGCTTGTACGTGTCTTTGTCGATTGGGTGGCACGGCGGCATGAATAACATCTGCATCTCTCCCTCTGTGCTCGTGTCTAGGACAAGCTGTCTTGGCAGAACGAGTACGAGATCTACAGCATGAGCGGCATGAAGCACGAAAACATCCTCCACTTTATCGGTGTGGAGAAGAGGAACAACAACCTGGACCTGGAGCTGTGGCTCATCACCGCCTACCACGACAAGGTACGCCGAGAGGGCTGCAGAGATGCATATTCTTTTCTTTACTGAGTCATTTTCAATCTGAGTGCACTAAAGCAGAGTACACTATAGGAGACCGGACTGTATTTCTAATGCATTCATTCCTCTATACAGTATGTTGTATATTTTCTCATTGCTTCATCAAACCTCTCGCACTTTGGGGACGTCTCAGACCTCCAGGCTCGATGACCTGAGCTTCATGCTGAACCTTCAGTCTGCTTTGTATGCCAGGCTTTTGTATACTACACTGTGGATCTATTTCAAACCAGTTTCAGGATGTTTGTACATTGATACGTCATTTAGGTCTAAAAATTGCTTTATGAGTTCAGCTTGATTTAAGACCATCAGATAAAGAGGAGCGAATAAGACAAACAAAAGAAAAACAAAAACGTGTTTAATTTTGCTTTTTCTGGGGTATCTTAAGTGCAATCACTGCTGTAGTTCATTAAAATAAACAGGCTGTTGCTTATGTTAAGTAGCAGGCGTGCTCACGGGGGCAGCCTTTGGGTTTAAAGACTGCAGTTTCTCTAGTGGCCAGTAGAGGGTGACTACATAAGGGAATCAGTACCCATAGATCGCCATGTTAAAATGTCAAAATTTATAGCTGATATAAGCACGTTGGTGACCACAAAGCAGTTTTTGTCTCTATAGCCAGTTGTCCTAAATTAAAAAACAGGGTGACTGTTTTTATAAGTCATCTTATATTTTAAAAAGTCTTTTTAAGTTTGCATTAGTCAGTCGTAATTATTTTATTTACAGAGCTTCTTGATCCCTCTGTGCTGTTTTTGGCTCTATCTTAGTTTAACTGTTAAAATTCTTATCACATTTTATTGTTTTGCTTTTGCTTTGTGGAGCAAACGAACCCACATTTTTGAGTTAAATCATAATTTCAAGATTTTTTGAACCTTTATTTTGAGTTAAGTTGAACTTTTGAGATATTCAAAATTGGAGTTGCATCTAAACTTTGATCAGTTTTTTAGTTACTGCGTTGAATTTCAATGTGCTAACCCACAATCTTGAGTTGTCAAGTTGTAATTCTGAGATAAATAACCCAAATATATAGTTCAACTTTTGAGATGCTAACCCAAATTTTTGAGTTACAATTTTTTTTTTTTTATGTAACTATAAATTTTGACGTGTTGCCAAAAAAAATTTTCTTCAGTGGCAGAAATGCGCTTCCATAAAGTATAGTTACTTCTGTCTTAAAAAAACAAACACAGAGGTTTAAAACACTAGTGTTCGTTACTGATGTCATTGTGGCCGTCTCCATCCTTTATATACAGTCTGTGGTATGATCCCTACTTTTTTCTTGTTGCTACCCAAGCAACATGTTGAGCTGATGGTCTGGATGTCTATACGACCTTATTTTAGTTCCATTTTGAACTGTGTCAACAAGTCCTGATAAGAGTCCATGTTTACTGAGCATTTATCCATATGTATCCATATCAAATTTATGATATACACCTGCATTTAAACCTGGCACAGCCACTCAAACCTTTAAAAAGATAGCTGTAAGATCAAGAGATCAAAGCCAGTATACATCTCAGTAAAACAGTTAAAACTCAATAAACTTGGGCTCAAGTTTCCACAGCTGAAGAAAAGGTTGGAAACCGTTGCAAGTGTTGTTTAAAACACATCCAACTGGAGCGCTTCAGATCTGTTTTCCAGTCACAGTGTACTACAGCACATGTAAAACAATTCTCTGATTTCCCGCCTGATTTCTCCCACTAACTGGGTTGTTTGTGTCCATGTAAGCTCAGCATATTGCTGAGCTTAGTGTATGTTATTGAGTTGTTTGCTGGGGGTTTTTGTAGGGGGGGCAGTTGCACACAGATCTAAAAAGCTCCAGGGCGACCATCTAACAAAGTTGTAAACACTGGTAAAGAGGGGAAACATGCATGAAACCTTCACATTTTATCGATTCTGTTTGGTGCCTTAAGATCTAACCTATAGTTACAATACACCTCATGTTGCCTTTCTTTTTTTTCTTCTTTTTTTTTTGTGCTTAGAAAGTGGGTTTGAGCTGTGTTAGCCCCCTTTTGTGCTCCACTCACCCTCCATGCTGCAGCCTTTGTAGCATTCGGGGCTCTAAGTGCCTCTGTGTTTTGAGAGTCATTACCAACCTAGTGGAGAGTGATTCTTGTACGCTTGGCTTGCCCGAAATTTCCCAGCCAGACCGAGGATTTGAATCAGCGTTCCTAAGGAGCCTTCATCGCGTGAATAAAGGTTGAAAAATTAAAAGCTTGTGGGTGTGGCGGTGAGGCTTTAACACTCACAATACAACTCTTGGAAAGGCACTCAGCTCTGGAGTGGAGTGAAGCTCTCCTAGAGGGAATAACACTGGAGCTTTAAAGGAGGAAACTGTAATTATTCTGCAAGCATAAGTCTTTAAGCTTTGACCTAAAAAGAGCAGGTGTCGAAGTGTTGGCGTCTGTCGCAGCTGATTTATGTTTGATGCATCTGAGCAGCTTTATGGTGTGGAGCCGTGCACATGCAGCAGCTTGCCGAAGAAAAAAAACCCTGTAATTTATATCTTTTCATATATTTCCAACGCAAGGATATTAAAAGCTGTCACGCAGAATATGCACGCGCGCGCACACACACACACACACACACACACACACACACACACACACACACACACACACACACAGACTGTGGAAAGCTTTCATCTGAAGCTCAGCTGATGATGTGTTGGAGTTGCATGCCCTCTAGTGGTCACTCAACACAACTACATTTGCCTTTGGCCTCCACTGGTGACCTTGTGTTGTGTTGACATTCAAAATTCAAGACCTTTATTGTCATTGTGCATTATAGATGACATTTAAAGAAAAACACTAACAGGAGTACAGATTAACATTTTATACTTTTTATTCTACATTATTAACTCTCATTATGATAAAAAATGGTCAATAAAGGTGTGAGGGAAACAGCAGCAGCACAGAAATATGAGTAAATATAAAATATGAGCATTAACAGGACAAAAGACAAATTAGTAAATTAGATGTAAGCATGAATTTTCCCTTGTAATGCTCAAATCTCCAGATCTACAGTAGCATTTCTACTTTTTCGCTCTAATATTTAAGAGTGAGGCACATGCTGCTCTTCATGAGTAGACAAAGGATAAGTGATCACATGGAGGAGGTCATTGAATCAGCGTTATCAGAGCTCCGTTATTCAGAGAGGACAATAAGCATCCGCTGTGGTTTTAAGAGGACGCCTTGTAGGTCGTAAATGTCATTTATTGCACTCTAGGGGATTTATTGAGCTCCAGAAGTTCTTTCTTCTTCGATAATCATCTAAAAAATGTCAATATTGAAACTTGTACATCCAGTATAATTGTTTTATCTTGTGGAGTCAGCTGCAAAATAAAAAAATAGAAAAGCTTTGGTGAATTTCCATCCATTAGAGATATTACCATTACCACACTGAGAATACTGCATGCTCTGATGCAGCTCAGCTTTTAATGTACTATTAATTAATCTTTTCATTCCATCACTCTGACTCTTGAATATATTTATAACATCACACATTTCTAGATTTCAGCTGATAAACATTAAAACTTCTGTAACAGTTAAACACAAGTTAGTGATCTGCTTTGTCCTCCATCGTCCTCCGGCCCTTCCATCACACGTGAATAAGATCTTGTGAATTCGCTCTCTTGGAGCACCGTCTCTCCCCCAACCCAAAGGGGAGTTTTGCCTCAGACTTGAAGATGCCAAGTAACTCCTGGTAGGGTCATCTCAGTGGAGGGGTCTTGCTTTGAGAAACTCCATTGAAAGAGAATATTTGGCACTGGATAACCTCACCTCAAACTGGCATTAAGCTAGAACAGAAACGGGGACGTCTGGCAGCCAGGCCTGGATTCATGGGGTCTGGACAGGTACAGCTTATCAACAACAACAGAAATTAGGGACACATGCAGTGTGGACTGGGCGACAGGCAACGGGCACGTTTTGGGGCCCCTTTTCCTACATGCCCATTTTTGAATGTAAAGTTAGTGTTTCTGTTTTTTCTTCCCGCTGACACCCATCTTCTCTGTCTGTCTCATTCACTAGGGCTCATTGACAGACTACCTGAAGGCCAACGTGGTGTCCTGGAACGAGCTCTGCCACATCGCTCAGTCAGCAGCCCGCGGTCTCGCCTACCTCCACGAAGATATCCCAGGACACAAGGACGGGCACAAGCCCTCCATCGCTCACAGGTACACTGCCATAAACATAAACATCTGTGGATTATCAAGACTGCTGTATTAGTTTGACTGGGCTAAAGGGACATTTCCTGTGTCGTGCGTTCTTTCAGGGACATTAAAAGTAAGAATGTGTTGTTGAAGAATAACCTGACAGCCTGCATAGCTGACTTTGGCCTCGCTCTGAAGTTTGAGGCAGGAAAATCAGCAGGAGACACACACGGACAGGTATAGCTCACACTTAAAACTTCATATAGTTGTCTCTCATCCAACATTTCACTGTGTTTGAAGGCATGTTTACAGGCAGTACCCAGTTACATCTGTTTCCAGCTTATTTGTGCATTGATGTTAAGCAACCAATGTCAGTTTATGTTGTCTGAAAATTTGGTTTATCATTATTATAATATTTTAGTCTTCCAAATGTTTTGCACTGCACAGCACAACAATCTTAAATGACAAGTTGAATAACACAAAAAAATCATCTATACAGTATCAATAATTACAGTCTAGAATCTTTCCCTTATTGTAAAAGGACATACGTCCATTAATGTATGACATTTTAGATCCTCCCATCAAAGTACAGTCAGATTCTTTCTGTCAGTGTACAGTGACATTCTAGAACATTTCCATCAATGCAGTTAAATTCTAAAATATTTCCCTTTGTGCACAATGAAATTCTCTTTGTTAATGTACAGTGAAATTCTATAATCTTTCCAATATATTTTAGAAGCTTTCTATTAATAGTCAGTGACTTTCCAGAATCTTCCTGTTAATGTATAATTACGTCTTTTCGTTGATGTTAAATTATGTTCTAGAATTTTCAATTCTAGAACATAATTATTGCAATTCCTCCTGAAACTGCAATAGTCAGTAGTTTATTTTAGCTTAGCGTGATTTATAGTTCAAAATAACCTTTCTTTATCTCATACTGGACCCTGTGTTAAGGGGAAAATGGGGGGGGGGACAAAAATAACGGAAAACTGAGTATTTAGACCTGAGGCCTGATCTTTTTCTTTTTTTTTTTAAGCTATTTGTTCATTTCGCTGTAATCACCAACATCCATTTTAGAGAGAAACTTATTATTCGTGCTTTGAGACAGTAGTTGTAGACTCCTTTGGGTGGCAGCATAGGCCAGAAATTTTTGAAGCAGCCCTGGAGGGATTCATTTGAATGATGAGGTTTTTAATTTTTGAAAGTTGGACAATCACAGTAAAGCAGTGAAAACACATTTATTTGGCAGTGTTTTTGCTGGGTCTGCTTTAATTGGTGGTCATGTAGCTATTTATCTCAGTGCTGATCTTTGGACTCCTGCTTGGAACCTGTAGGTGGGAACACGACGTTACATGGCTCCCGAAGTCCTGGAGGGCGCAATCAACTTCCAGCGTGATTCATTTTTGCGCATCGATATGTACGCCTTTGGCCTCGTCCTGTGGGAGCTGGCATCACGGTGCACCGCTGCCGACGGTAAATCCACAAGCACTCCAGTCAGGTTTTATCCACACTGTCTTATTTTTATTCCGTCCGAATTTTAACTTTGGACACGTGCACATGTTTCCAGGACCAGTAGATGAGTACATGCTCCCCTTTGAGGAGGAGGTGGGTCAGCACCCATCTCTGGAGGACATGCAGGAGGTGGTGGTGCATAAGAAACTGCGGCCCTGCCTGCGAGACTGCTGGCAGAAACACACGGTGAGAAATTAGAGGAGTGTTTGTTGAAACTGTCCCATAGCTCTTTGATGTATGCAGCATGATTTAAAATGGTTCCCTCTATAGCACATTTAAAAAGAACAGCTGATGTACACCTGAAATAATCAAACAACATATAACACAGGACAAAATGACAGTGAGTAAGAACAACACAAAGTATTATGAACTTTCATTGGATAGTCTCTTCAGTCACTTGCCTGAAAGTTTATAAATAGGTCCCGCCCACTTTGTGCCACTGCAGAGCGCTTCCAGTGTGTCCATGCTCAAACTCCAGAAACCACAACCAGCTGAGATATCGTGGTGCTGTTTGGATAATGTTCGTCTGAACTTTGTTCCGCAGGGTCTGGCCATGCTTTGCGAAACCATCGAGGACTGCTGGGACCACGAGGCCGAGGCACGCCTGTCCGCCGGCTGCGTCGAAGAGCGCATCGGACAGATGCAGCGCCAGGCGCCCGTCATCGGCCCTGAGGAGATCGTCACGGTTGTCACCATGGTGACAAACGTGGACCTCCCACCCAAGGAGTCCAGCTTATGATCAGCCAATCAGCCGACGCCAGACGAGCTCTAGCGAAAACACAGATCAACACGAGGGGATAAATGGCCAACCCTGGTTGGTTGGCTTTGTGGGGGGGTTTTCTTCTTCTTCTTCTCCTTTGATTTTTTTTTTCCTTCCTGTTCTTTTAAGTGCGGGCCGCTGCTCGCATTCAGGAAACGCCCCTTGCGCCCGCCTCACCACATCAGTTGACATCCACCTCATTTTGATAGGCGTGCTTGAGGATTTTAACGTTGAACTCTCTGCCATCCTGAGCGGACTCACTCAGGATGTTTTACCAAGCCACAGCACTGACATGCTGGGACAACACTCTACGGACACTTTGATCATGTATTGTTTTTATATACACATATACATGCAAACGCACGCACACAGACACACACACAGATGTAGGAGGGCGACGTGTTCTGCTCTGAGAAGATTCTTCGGAGAAATTTCACAAAACTCTCGGTGCATTTTAGTGTTAAAAAACAACAAAAGAAGAAAAAAAAAGAAAAGACGAGCGTCCGGCTCTTGATACATTTGCTGTTTTCTCGTGTGTTTTTTTTTCCTTTTTCTTTTGTTTTTTTTGGGAGACTATCGTTCTGCCAATAAGCAACGGCTTCTGAATGTTTATAGTGTAATGCTGCTGTACATAGTGTATTATGGACCCAGACAACTTGGTAATCAAGCTTATTTTAAATGGGGGGGGGAATGGGGAGGGGGGTCCATTTTCAAGCATTACGACGATAAAAACCATAAACCTCCTTCAACCAGGTATACCTCAGTTCAGATGGACAGTTTTAAAAAAAAAAATCAGTCCCTCTCTCCCTGTTCATGGTCATCGCTCGCACTTCCTTTACAACCTTTTGGCCCTTCGTCAATCAACAAAGCCTAGACACACACAGACACACACGGCCATACAAACCGTAAAAAAAACAACACAACTTTTTCCCTTCTTCGTCCCCTTCCTTTCTCTCAGTGTCTACTTCAACTTTCTCCTGTTGTTGTTTTTTTTTTTTTTTTTTTTTTTTTTTGCTTTATCCAGATGTTATGAGAAGCGGGAAAACTCATGAACCCCCCCCCCCCCCCCCCCGCCACCCCCCCACACCCCTCAAGAGGAACAACCTTTCCTCTTACTCCCATGCACTAATGAAGTTGTCGTTTAAAGTTTTCTTCTTCTTCTTCTTTTTTTTCTTGTTTGCCGTGTCAGCCGTCAGCAGAGAGTAAATACCCATTGCTGGCTAGCTTGAATTGGAGTCACGAGATCTCTCTCTGGATTAGCGCTGGGTGCCAGCTGTAATGATACCTTCTCTTTTTCTTTTTTTTTTCTTTTTTTTTTTTGGATATTTAATCAGAGATATCAAACTCTCGGGTCATATTCTTGTTCATTCATTGTGAAATAAATTATGTGTTGTTTGATTCTATTTAGAAAAATCAGATTAACAAAAAAAAAACAAGAGGTCACCTGGCATGATTATTTTTAGGAGGTATCAAATTTGAAGTACAGTTTCCAGAGGTACCCAGCCCTACTTTGGAACTGTGCCTGTATTTAGCTGAGCCAGCTTGCTTTTGATTTGATTGCACGCATCTTTTTATTTTTATTTTATTTTATTTTTTTTAATTAAGAGTTTCTGCTCTCTTTGGATACACCTCAGGAATCTTTGCTACTCAACACCGCGCCCTCACATCCTCATCTGTCTCGAACTGGAGTACCTCCTCTTTCGCCGAATCTTGCGCCTCCTATGTCTCTTTCTTGCCTCGTCTCCACTTGTTAGGGTTTAGCCGTGCGGTAATAGTTCAGTGTCTTTAGTCGGTTTGAAGAAAACCTGTATTAGGTAAGGTTGGTCGATAACTAAAAGGTGGACATAATCTGCTCCCCATTCTTTTTAAGTAGCCAAGCATGAATCACAGTTCAAAATAATCCTTATTCATCTCATCTTCTGAAAGAAACCGTCACATGATAGAGATACTATATTACTATATTAGGACTATCCACTTTTTCTGACAAAGTTCCACCAGTCATTTAATGCCAGATCCCCACAGCATTCATTAGTCATACTGATCTCATTACAAAAAAAGGAAAGTTGAATTATCAAGGATGCAGACGACTGAATTAATTCCCACAAAAATGAAGAGAGATATTACTAAAAACAGGAAAAAATATCAACCTGCCCAACCAACACAGTCAACCTGACCTAATGTATCTGTAGAACCAAAAATCTGGTCTATGTTTTAACCACCTTCATTCTGCACTGTTCCAGTTTAGACTTAATTAATTTGTTTTGATGCTTTCTCTTAAGCTTGGCCCACTGCCGTTGGAATTTGAGGGTTATTTCCCTAGGGCCTTGGTAACACAGGCCTAGAAACCAGTTGGTGAACCCATGACAACCAAAACCCTCCTTGTGATTTCTTTGGTTACCTATAGCTTGCAGAGAAGACGCTGACTTATCTGCAAACACTCATTATTTAACCTCTGAGACGTACTAGAAACCAATAATGTTCCCCTTCAAAGTAAAAGTTCTTAGAAACCCCTAAAACCACTTAGCTTGACAGTTTGAAACCCTTGCCGACCCAACCGGCACACTCACACAGCTAACCATGGTTAAATGAGTGGAGACGAGGGGATCTCTCCTTTCTGTCTTTCATCCTGGTGCCATTTCTACATGTCGATATTAGTTAATCTTGTAGATGTCAGGCAAAACGGATGTATCTGTCGTTGTTGCGAAGGCGACAAATGACGTTTTTGAGTCTTTATTTCCTCTGAGGGATATTGAACACTGGTGCCGGCAGACCTGCAGTCTCTCCTCAAGCTTTGGGACGGTTTCACATATCACAGTTTAAAATAAAGCTCTGTGTGCAGTTAGAAAATACTTGGGGAGGGGCATGAAGAAACTTCTTTCTATCCAAACCATTCACATTCAAGACAGTGAGGCTTTCTTTACAGCACTGTATTATGACGTTTTGGTGAGCAAGAGCCAGTAGGTATACAAGTAAAACACTAAGACATTAAATTGATTAGTGATCAGTTGAGCAAAACCTTTCATTTTGCACAAAAAAGTCTGTAATGAAGCTAAATGTTTGGAGAATGGAGATGTGTGCCAACATTTGTACCAATCAGGGCCAAATTGTTTAGTTATCCCACCTAAATCTAGAAGATTCCAAAAAAAGCGTCTTCATAGTTGAACTGTAAAAGTTCTTTAAGCAAATTTGGCAGCATAAGTTTGAGGTTATTTCCGCACACCATATTGCAACAACACCGCAAACCTGAAGGAAGTTGAAGCCATCATCTTATTTACATATTGTAGCATGAGTACAATTTTTTTGCATCAGTGTCGCTTCCTTATGCTGCTCCACTGCTGTTCAAAAGCACCCGTTGTCCGAGGTCCTCGCAAAGCTTGAACAGTCGGGGACGATCAGTACTGCAAACCCCAGCAGCCCTTCAGTAAGTACTACCTCACTTGCAGGGATTTCTTCAGTATAGAAACTATGGCAAATAAATTAAAATCATAACCAGGTTGCTAAAAAAAAATTCTAAATGTTCTTGATTTAGGGGAAAGGTTTCAGTTTAGGGGTAAACTTAATTTGTTCCCTGAAGGTCTGACAGACAGAAACAGAATAAGGCTACAAAGAAGCTTCCTCATTTCCACCACAATGTGTTTTCTTGTCCCACGAAGGGAGATTGAACTGCAGAACGAAAAGGATCCTTGAATGACACCAACATAAGGGAAAAACACCAGTATTATTCTTTTTAGTTCCCATGTTTGTGTCCTCAAATGCAAAACCTACTCACCAGTGTTCCAGCAGCCAAGTGGATATCCAAAAACTGCCTCCAAACTGGTTGGTTACCTGCCAAAGTGGTTGACAAATCTTATCAGCCACGAGCAAAGAAACTCGCTGCTGTTTGGTTGGCAGTCACATCCTAAGCACTGTAGGGGAAAGACTTCTGGCTTGAGTTTAAACTGCGCTCAGAGAAACCGACCCAAACCGACAAATACCATTCAGGGATTCAGTACTATGCTTTTCTAAGTTCTAGCGAGTTATATGCAACCAGTGCCGCAAACTACCCTACACTTCTGTAGGATCAGCTGCAGGAGTGAATTTCAATACACACACACACACAAATAACTTGTAGCATTTTTTTTTTTTTATCCGTGACCTTGCATATTGATATGTTGTATTTATTTTTTAATTTACTGGCCTGAGGTTTTGGGGATTGGAGCTCGAGTGCAACTCGGAATAAAGTTCTGGCATGAGCTTTGGTTTTTGTTGGGGTTTCAGGGTTTGGGGTGGGTTTTCAGTTGTAATTCAGGAACTACTTTCATTAATTGATTCAAAAAGAAAAAGATATAAACTTTACTCATGCTTCTTTCTATTCAGTCTATGGACAAAATGACCGAGAATGAATGTTCTTCAGACTCCTGGATTCCAGTATTGTGTGTACTTCGATGGATTGAGCCCGGCCCTGTGTAACTTTAGAGGGCTTTGCGTTTGGCTGGTTTCGTGTGATTGTGCCCTGTCCCGTAGAAACTTGCAAAGCCCAGCGTATTTGGACATCCATTCATACACCTCTCGGTTGTACCGGCTCTGTGGTCCATTAGGACCAAACCGACCATCCAAAGGACGATGGGGGAAAAAAAGGTCCTCAAAAACCTCTGGTCCTACCATTGTTTTAGCACCTAAACTTCCAAAACAAAGCAGATATTTGGTTCTGTTTGTCTTCACCTGATCAAGTACCCAATTAAAGCAATTGACGACAATCTCGTCTACCATCCATTGGTTCCCCTCAGGAACCATGCCTGTTCTGACTCCACCAAAGGAGCATCTACATGATGCATTGCTGAACTGAACTTTGAGGATCTGTAGCGTTAACTTCTTGCACTGAAAAGTTAGGAAACTTCACCAAAAGAGCTTCTAAATACGCAAAAATTCGGAACATCTCATTTTAATAGGTGGCGCTTCTAAAATAGTCCAGAATGAACATGGCCCTATGGATCTATAGCTCAAATATTTAAATTTTGTGAGGTAAAGTTTTTCCTCTGGAAATTTTTGGAAAGCATTTGAGACATTTGATGTAGTAGATGTATATTTTTCTTTAAACTAGCAGCTTCTTCTGGAATCTCCTTTATTGGGAAAATTAGCTTCATTGTAGGGGGAAAAGGTAGAATTTTTTTTTTTTAATTAACTTTTTGTCTAGAAGAAGCTTTAAAGAATTATTATTCAGTGTCAGTGGTCTTGTGAGCACCCCCAACTGAACCCAGTCACCCAGTTTCTCAGCAATGGGTAGTGAAATGGATCCTGCTAGAGTGATTCAACTTTGGAAGCACCAGTTAATCAAGTCAGTGAAAATGTAATTGATTGGATGTTGTCTCTGTAATGAAGATGCCAGCAGAGGTACACCCCACCCCACCCCCGACAAATGCTCATGAGAATCCTCTTGATTGGTAAATGTTCACAAAAGAGGTTGCACAGCTTTCTAGATGGCAACGACAACTGACAGCCTGCAGGGCCTGTTGTACCCAATGTTCTCGCCCTTGCAAATGTTGGTGAACACTAAAAGTGCTGTCATATCCACTGGCCACACTTTGGTGTTTTTTTTAGCTAATAGCATCAGGGGTTTTGTCACCTTTTCAGCTAGTGCAGGAGCTACCAGATTAAATTGCACTTTCTGAGTTTCCTGTTTTGATCTCTGGCACTGTTGTGGAGATTGTGTCTTTCGTTCAGGAGGATAGTGCAGCGAGTAGCTCAAAAGCTGAGGTGACCAGCTTTGGAAAATAGTCCAGTCATATTCGACCCTGCTGATTTGTATAATTTATCTTCAACTTCAGCCTTATCCTGATGAGGAGCAGTTGACTTGGCGACCTGAGAGGAGTGAAAAGGATGGATCTTTTGGATATTTAAAGGTGTATGGATGGGTCCTGCGCATGTTGAAGCTTTACATGTTTCTACCTTGACTTCCTCCAGCCCAGCACCTCACATTGCTGTGCATATAAACAGTGAAACATTTGTGTCTTGTTGCCCCCACTATTTTAAGCAGTCTAGGATCTGTACAGACATAAATACCTGTATCAACTATATACTCTGAGCTGAATCTTTATAAGTGCGTGTTGAACTTCAGTGTTTCCTCTACATTCATTTATACTTTTCTTGTGTTTTGACTCAGCACCCAGGCCTGTAAAAGTTTCCCTTCACTAAGTTGGAGGCTCATTGGAGTACTTTGTAAGGCAGAAAGAAAACGAATTGTGATGGTTCAGCCAAAGGTGTTCCTCTGGGAGCCTGCTTGGATCCCCTGATGGTTACATTTTAAAAAGCCCTCCAAGCTCTTTAGGAGCTGTTGCAATATTCCCATATGTGCTACTACAATCATCCACTACAGGTTATTTCATTCTAACTTCCCAGTCTCCTCCTTTTTCCTGCTGGTGGTAAAGAGTTTTAGAGGAAACATTGAACTCCATTGACCCCCACCGCTAAGACTGTCTTGGCAGTAAGAGAAGTCTGGTTACCAGGCCTGAAATTTCTACAAAAAAACCCCCACAAAACAAATCAAAAAAATAACAAAACAAAAAAAAACAAAAACACTACTTTGACCCCACATTTCTTGAGGCTGTCGAGTTGCAGCGCTTATCCCGGGTCTGCCAACACTGTCTCCAATGCCAATGATGCTCACAGGTTGTTTAAAGCTGGGAGAAACTGATCAGTCTGAACATGAAACTTCAGTGTGTCATGTTTTAAAAAGAAAAAAAAAATCCTCTCTTCAGTGATGAAAATGTCTTTTTTTCTTTGCTCCTGATACATGTGACTGTACATTTTATGTTACTGAGAAAAAAATGTGAAAACAAGAAAGAAACTAAGGTCTGCAATTTCAAACTGGAAAGTGAAGTACATCAAACAAACAAACAAAAAAAAGAAACAGCCCACTGGGTTTTCCTGAGTAGGAATGAGTCTTTACCAGCTTCAAGGATGTCCTCATCCTGACCTCTCACAGAAGGGATGAGAGGAAAATCTCTTGAAAAAGTGTTACAGCAGAGGAAATAAACTTCATGAACCCTGTGTACATTATGGCAGAGGAGGCAGGACTGATCCCTGATTAGCGCTGCGACTCTCGGCTAATGTTAGCCGGCCATGGTTTTTATCAGCTGAAGTGATCCACGTGATGTAAATAAATGTGTTTTTAGATTGTGAATGTGTTTTCTTTCCTTTTTTTCCCCTCTCTGAATCACTGCAGTCTGGAGTTAACTCTTTTTAGAGGCTTGGCGTTTTCCTGGAAACAGTTTGGTTTTCATATTTAGGGACTTTTTAATAAAGGAAAGTCATAAAATAAATTTTGATACATCAGATTTTAAGAGGTAAACCCTAACCAATGCAATTAGGTGTACCTATTAACGATAACTGGTTATCTTTAATAGGTACACCTTGCTAGTACTAGATTAAGTACTTTTGTCTTAATTCTTTGTTAGCATCACAGTTACTGCAGATGAGAATCTCCTGTTCCACCACATCTCAAATCTGCTCTATTGGACTGAGATATGGTGACTGTGGAGGCCATTTGAGCACAGTGAAGTCATTATGTTCATAAAACCAGTTTGAGATGATCTGAGCTTTTGTGACATGGTGTGCTATCCTGCTGGAATCAGCCATCAGAAGACGGGTACACTGTGTTCATAAAGGTATGGGCTGTGCCTGTGTCATGGCTCTGAACTATGGAGCACAGTCACCTCCTTTCCTCTCATTCAGAGAATTAGATTGGCTCTTCTTAAGGCTGATACTCACAGGTCCCTTCACTCAGTTACAAGCCTTGCTTAAATGCTCAGTGCTCCATGTTTAAGAAAAGGCAATTAAATTGAGGGTGGGGGGCTGGGTTCCCTGTTGGAAACATGAGGCTTATATTTGGATTATAGGCTTATATTTACAGTACAGCATGGCATTGCACACTGAATAAAATCTTTAAAACTGTAGCCACAAATACATAGCATACCATTTAAACAGTTAAAATTAGTAAAAAAAACTTCATGTTTATAAAGCTGGATTTATGCAACAATGTACCTTTGAAACTTGATTCTAAAAGAGCAGCAATGAGGCTTTTGAAGCCTAGAAACACAAAATATCTGCCAAGAGGACACCTAATTAAATGAGTTCTTTTTATTGCCACTAAGGTGAATCTTCATTCAGCTCACGGCCATGCAGACCAATCAGCTGATCATTGTGCATAAACTGTAAAACCATCGTGGGAGCAGCGATTCTTGTGAACTGTGGAGGGACACATGCCTCACTGATGCTACAGTGTGTTTAAAAAAAAAACAACAACAACAACAAAAAACAGACTTTTGGCACAATTACACATATTTTTGTCCAAGAAATCAAAACTGCAACTTTCATCCAGGTTATTGTCAACTGCACAAAATCACCACTAGATAGCAGTATTCAGCAGCCTGATGCTCACGACCTGAAAATGATGAAAGCTGGACGCTTGATGACACTTGCTAAGTCCAACTACTGATCAAATGACACAAGCACATTAAACTGAATTTTTGTATTAAGATTTGGGGGGGGGGTCTATCTTCAGCATAAACCTCTAACTGCTTAGAGGGTGAAACAATCGCACCAATGCCAAACTATTCATTTCCTTTTATTTTCTGATCGTTTAGAGTGGGCGGCAGTGCAAACCTTATGCTCTTCAGTCCAAGTCAAAACACGCTTCACAGACTCTGAATTCTAAATGTTCTGAAGATCTACCCAAATGCCGACATGGCCCACTGCTTGACGTCAGTGGGGCACTGTGGGTACTTCTGCAGGGCATCCATGATCTGGCTGTGGTCCAGCGTGAGCCTCATGAGCTGGTACTCCCTCTGGACTTTGGCCGAGGAACCATCGACAGGCCGGATCAGCTCCAGCTGCTGCAGGTGCTCGAACGCCTAAAGGCGAGAAGAGATTAAGGGTCAGTCAGCAAACAGATTGTATCCGTGTTCAGGAAATGTCCACTTTCTGCCTGGTGTGGGGTGGGGGTTTGGTAGGAAAGACTGGGGGAAGAGTTTCAAAGCGTTTCTACCAACCTTCATGACAACAGGCTGCTCAAAGTTGTACATGGAGTTGGACTTCCTATGCAGGAACTTCTTAAACTCTGGAAACAATCAGGCACGAGTGAAGAAACAGACGGGACAGCTTCTTCTATTTGTGTAATTTAATCGTGCGATCGTACCATTATGGACCATCTGAAGGTTAAATGGCTCTCCTTCATACACATCATTGAGGTGCTTAATGGCGATGACCAGGCACAGCTCCAAGATGGACAAACCTAAAGAGAAACAGCTCACTTAGACTCTTTGGACCGCGGGTAAAAAAAAAAAAAAACGTCCCTTGTTAGGATTTGTACTCACCATGGAGCATGTTAGCCGTGGCGTCAGCAAAACACATCCGGCTGGCCTCGAGCAGGTCGGCTGGTTTGATGGTAGGTTTGGTGACAGAGACGTGACTCAGGCACAACATCTGTAAAGATATTTAGTACGAAAAGAAACAATGAAAGAAAAGGAAACACCCAAAACTTCCCCAAACCGAACATCAGAAATGATCTTCTCACCAGCAGCATGTGCAGAGAGCGAAAGTCTTTGCTGGAGTTGAAGTGTCTCTGCAGAACTTCCTCCACAGATTTGTCCTCACACAGAGTCTGAAGAACCAAGAAAACAAAGATCAGTACTTTTTGCTTTGTATGTCTGCACTTCTGTTCTATGTGGAAAAGGTGTGTACATCGTCTGCCGTTCAAAAGGAGGCCAGAGATGACATCGCTGTCTGAACCATGTTAGCTGGGCAGTGATGTTACTACGGTCACTCAAACAACTCAAAATTAGACATTTTCTGAACTTTAGTGAGCTATTTAAGGCTTTTAGGGCACGAAGAAGGTAGAGCACAAAAAACAGCAGTACCATGCAAAAGCCAACAATCGTTTCATTATATTTTGCCACCAAGCCATCAGACTGTCATTTTTTTAAAGTGGTCTTGAGCAACAATTCTTCAGGCTTTCTGAAGGTCTTTCCAAGTTTTCCTTTAGACAATGCCTTCTTTTTCACTAAGAGCCATTAGCTGAAACCATGGCATATCTCAGTATGGTATTCAGAGTTTTCTTAAAACATTTCAGGAGACTGGACAAGTGAATAACAAACGTGGAAAGAGAAGTGCAAGTCCTTAAAAAAAAAAAAAAAGCTATCTACAGCAGATGAACAGTATGTGAAGGCCATATCCACAGGACTTTAGAGATTCATCTGGACCTTTAGCTGATCCATCTACTGTTCACCGAAGTTTAATCACAAACGGTCTCAGTGGCTGTGACGAAGCCATTCCTAATGAAGGGAAACAGTAAGAAAAGGCTGAGGTGTGAAAATTACACAAGAACTGGACTGAAAATCAGTGACATGGGTCTTGATAGTGATGAATCCACATTTGGAGTCTTTTGCTTCAAATCATTGTCAGTATGTACGGGGAGACGTACAACAGTGAGTGTCTACAGCCATGTGTAAAACACGGTGGAGGCTCCATCATGGTTTGGTGCTGTATTTGCATTTGGCAACAGCTTCAATTTTTAATCACAACAATGATCCCAAACTCACTGCCAATGCAGTAAAGACGTACCTGGATAGAAGGTAAGGATCATGTTGACAGAACAGAACAAAAGGCAGAAACATCCAAAGAAGAGCTTTGAATGTCCTTCAAGAAGCCTGCAGAACTATTCCTGAAGACGACTTAAAGACGTGACTAAAAAAAAACTTTGTGTCTGCCTGCTAACGTCACCTTTACACCAGCGTTCCACTCCTGAGCGAATTTCTTGTCAGGAAAGCTGTCCGGCAGGCTGAGTTGCGTCCAAACCCGTTCCAGGTACTGGGTGAAGTTGAGGCTGCTCAGCAGGTGGATCTGACGGTGGGAAAACCGCGACTTTACCCGCTTCTCCAGCAGCTCCAGAACATCCTGAATGGAAAAAGTATCACGACACTTACTAAAAACACCTACCAATATCTAAGTAGGGTTTCTGAGAGGTGTTCTGAGGCCCACCAGTCTGCAGGTGACGCCGACCACAGCGATAGGAGCCTGGGCGGACTGGGAGACGTCAAACAGGTTGTAGAGCAGAGTCTGGTTCTTGTGGTGGGCGAATAAGTCAAACTCATCCAGGACAAACAACACTGGGCAGCTACTGCTGCGATTGCCTTTTAGGAAAAAACCAACAACAAAAAAACATCAAACCTGCCCCTCTAGTCTGAAATCAGCTCTAAATATTTGAACTTTCTCACCTTTTTTTAATGCCTCCAGGAGGAAAGCCAGATTTTCAGCAAAGCTTCCCTAAGAAAAAAAACGAGGTAGAAAGATCTTTGCAGTTTTCAGAGCTGAAAATGTTAATAACAGTCTCTCTAAATACTCACAAACACTTTGTCTCCAACAACGTTTTCCAGGTGGAGCTGTCTGGTTATTTCTTTCAGCGCTGTTCTGTCATCAGTCTGCAGGAGACCTGCGGCAAACACACAAACCCATCCATCCAATTCACATTTCCAGCAAACGTGTGGGTTCTTAAATTGTGAAGAATTTAAATGAGGTTTGGTACCACTGAGGTGAACCTGAAGAAGGTTCTTCTGCACCTTCTCCTCCTTCTGCAGGTCTCTCAGCACGCACTGCAGCAGCTTCAGGCACAAAAAACACAAACCTCACAGGATTCACAACAAGTCCACACTTTAAAAAAAAAAAAAAAACCAAATTCATTTTTTCCCACGGCTCACCATCGTTTTGCCTGCTCCTCTGGGACCCACGATTAGCACAGAGTTACTCTCCCCGTGGATCGCCGTCCGCCTCAGCAGCTCCAGGAGGTGTCTGCAAACACAATGGCTTTAACTACAATACCCACAATGCTTAGTAAAATATACACCCCCATCTCATGCTTGTAATGAGTGGAAATCTCTCACTGGGGAAGCTCGTGTTGTGGCCGAGTCGGCCTGGAAACTGGGACAGAGCTGTCACCCAGGTGCGACTGAACTGGGCCACTGAAACTCACACCGAGCTCCAGGTCTGCTCTTAATTATAGATGACAGTTCTACTACAGGCCTTCTAAACCATCCAACACCTGTAGGAACCGAAGCCAAAACAAAAACAAACACCCTTTACAGGTTATTTGCCTTTCCCAAACACTTAGGACAAATTTTTCATGGTTTTATTTTCACAAGGCCAGATTACAACCGATTCCTCCTCTCCAGTATGAACAGTAAGGCTGTAATGGCCTCGAACTTTTAACCTTTTACTGATCACTAGTAAAGGTACCTTTCATAATTACACCCTACATACTGTCACTATGTTTCACCACAGTGGGCAGTGTTTTGCCAGTCAGTGTGTTTTTACATTTGTAAGCCTGTTTCCAGACCTCCACTTTAAACAAGAATGTGTTTTTAAAGGACAACCATATTTAAGTCACAACACGCACACATGCAGGCACACACACGCACGCACGCAGGCACGCACACACACACGCAGCTTTGACAGAGCCAGAAACGCCCCGAGGATTAAAACAGGCCGATCCAGTTGAAGCTATGAGGCAGGAACCTGTGCCAGTCATTTCTCCAGTTTCTTTTCTCGCACTGATTGTCTTGTTTCTTATTTTAATATCCAACTTTGTTTGGATTTAACATTCTGATTTTCTCTGTGATTTTCTTGTAAACTCTTTTTCATGATACTATGGTATGAGTCTTTTTGGTAAATGTGTTGACGTTATTATAAAATCACCTCTATCCACAGGCCCTGTTGTTATGAACTTACTTGTACTGAGCTTCTACTCCCTCTGGTCTGTCAGGGAGCAGCCTCTCACAAAACCGCTCCCTTAAAATCTGCTGAACCTGCACAGAAACATGTATTATAAATAAACTACATTTTATTAGGTATATTTCAGAGTATGACACTGAAAAACTCACTGGCTGTTCATACACACACCTGTGTGATGCATTCTCCTATAGGCAGATGAGCATCTCTGGCCTTCCTCTTACTCATGATGACTGCAAAACGTGAACAAGTGGGAAAACAGGTCAACTTCAACATGCCACTAAATTCATTTTCAGCGGGATAATACTGACACTTTACATTGCCGTTAGGTGTCAATTAAATGCACTAACATGGTGGAAACAACGGTTTTAATTCCAATAAATAACTCTTTTGTTCCCTTTTTTTTAAGTTTACGCCAAACGTAAGACTAATAATCACCAAAACGAAATAGCCTCACTTCAGGACATGTTTACAGTTGTGCTGTAACCAATGTTAGGGTCGATAACAGGTGAGGATAAAACACTTTTCAATTCGGCATGCAGCTGATGCAACGATACCAGTCTAATCTCATAGCTGCCTTTGACTGCTTATCTTACAATTTGGTCAAAAATGAATGTCTAAATAGATTTTATGTATGCCGAATTAGAAAGCGACTCATAAGTGTGAGAATCCGTCTCGGGCTGCATTCAAGGCTGAGATCATATCGTCCGACAAGTCAGGAGAACTCAAAATTGTCATTTTTACAACAGAACTTCGGTGCTACACGCTTGCGACGCAACCCAGGGCTTTACTCGAAGATCTGCTCGCTAAAAGTGCGCTGAAGAAGCACGAATGTTTTCCATTTCTAACTTTGATTACTTCTACCGTTGTGTAAGACAGGTGTCAGCTAGTCGAGCTTCTTTTCACACACACATCAGAACAAACATACCGGGAGTAACGAAGAGACGCCTCAATCTTCGCGGGAATACTCCTCGCCAGCGATGACGACTTCCGGCTTTGACTATATCTGCTTTCTGATTGGCTGCGACTCAGAGCAACGCAGAAGAGAAACGCTGTGGTTGTAGAATTATATTATTCACACACACGCACAAAACCACCAAATAAAAAACGATTTAAAAGAAAAAAACATGACATATAGTAATGTGCAAAAGTCAACAATTCTTTCTTTATATTTTGTTACCAAGCAGACAGGCTTCGTTGTATTGTTTTTAAAGTGGTATTGAGCAATAGTTCTTGAGGCTTCCTGAAGGTCTTTGAACGTTTTTCTTTGGACATTGGCTGCCTTTTCACTTATTTTCGGCTTCGTCCTTGTCCCTGACCAATCTTTTGTTTGTTAAACCACTATGAATCATTCAAGCATAAAAAAGACTGAACCACTGTTGTGCAACCACAAAAACACATAATTTGTTCTAATGCCTTTAGTTGGATCGATGAAAAATGTCAAAGATAACACAGTTTGACAGATATTAAACAGTATTTTTATACTAACAAAGATGATTCCTAAAAGCTATTAGTTGAAACCTTGGCATAGCACAACATGGTGTGCCCTAAGAAAATCTGAGGAAGCTGGACAAGTGGAGGGCTAAAGAGCTGTCAGCCTTCAAAAACAATCTACATCAGATGAACAGTATCTGAAAATCATGTCCTTAAAAACATGAAAGAATCCAGTAAAGAGCTGACACAGAACCATCTACTGTTCACTGAAGCCTCATCAGAAATGGTCTCAAGTACAGATGAAACTATGTAAGCACAAAGCTATTCAAATAGATCAATAATATTAACATAAATCCACAACGATTTAAGTCACGTTGTGGTTTAATAACTGTATCAGCAGTAAAGAGGACATTGCACAGAGGTTATATTTGAATGTGAATATTTGAATAACCCATTCAGGTGTATACAGATTTTTGAACTTGTTTAAAAATATATAAATTAAAATGACAAAATATTGTTTTATTTTTCATTTCAATTTAAAATACAATATTTTTAATTTGGTATTATAACAAATGACACATCCTTGTCTTGAGGGCAAGAGTTTAAAAAAATGTGTCTTTTTATGCTTTTCACGAATTTTACATGAATATGATTTTATTTGTTGAATTTTATATACATTTTATTGTTGAATTTGATCCTGCGCATTTCCGTTCTACAGCATTTACTGGCTATGAAATAAAAACAATATGATATTATATTATATATATCATTCACAATTTAAGTTTTCTAGATTACTTTTTATGTTATTTTTGTGAAATTAAAATAGCAGGATGCTCTTAAGAGATTTTCATCAGCATAAATGCTAAAAACAAGTCATTTTGGCCAGTTGTTATAAGTGGTTGCTAGGCAACATGATGGCATCATAACATTTGACATAGATAAGAACCTTCAGGAGCCTAAGACATACTTGTGTGCCAAGTTTGGTTGTGCTGCTTGTGATCATGTAGGAGGAGTTGGTGGACAAATAAATGAACACACAGACAGATTTTATGTGTTATAGTAAGATATATAAGAAATAGTCTGTCGGCACTGAGAAAGACTACAATTATGTGTTATTATATGTATTTATTTGTGAAACTATAACAGCCACTTCTGCTCTGGTTTGATAAAATTAGGAGGGATGGCTCATGTATATGTCTAAAAGGCCGCCTTCATAACAGCATCTTTTACTCACTGAAGCTCTGGAGACACTTAAACGCTTCCTGCGGCTTTTTGGTTGACTGATGAAAAGGAAAAAAAAAAGACAGCAAACCGCCAGATATCTCGCAAATCGTCTCCCTCTCTCCGCTCACATTTAGCCTGTCACATTATTCTAAAATACGACCCTCCGCTCGCACATTCAGCCCTCTGTGTTTGCCCTTAAAAATACATGAAGCGCTCCTTCCTTCAGCAGCCCTACACTGAATTCATTTAACGTCTCCTCGGGTTTGACCTTCACACAAAATTCAGGGGTCCTTGCTTCAGACGGCTGAGCTCATGTTTTCTTCAGCTTTTATGACCTTTATTTATCTCAGGAAATTATTTTGCTGAGTGTCTGTTTTTGCTCCACTGCCACTTTGTGTTGTATTTTTTGACTTTCTTTGCACACAGCCAGTCAAAATTAACCTTAATGAGTGTCATCTTGTTCATAAATATGAATAGTTTAGTTTCTGCTAAAAGATGTTCTTGTAATTAATCATTATCATTGCAGTTTGTAGCTTATGGTGTTAAACACTTATCAAATTACACTTCATAGACAGTATTTAACAAAATACCTGTAAGGTATTAGCAAAATAACTGGTAATGGGATTGTTTTTAATTAGGTGGTGACTTTTTTTCTAACCCTGTGAGTCCACATATTCTGAGTTTCAATATGTAGCCACTGGCTTCTGATCATTTTAGTACATTATGCTTAATATGTAAAGACCACCTTTTATTTTTCGACAAAGTAAGACATGGTAATGATAACGTTACAAAAGTTAAAACTTCTGTAAGAGGTCTTTATGTTAGCTTACCTTCTGCAACAATGACCCCTTCCCCCTAGCCCCCAAAAAGGAAAACAACAGTTGTACTAAATTAATTTCCTGTCACTTTTTCTAACTTTTAGAATTAATCAAAGTGATTATTTGGCATGAACTCGAACTATTTTGCAGATTAAGTCAGGAGAACTTAAAGATCACTGTGTTCATTTCTATTGTTTCTGATGTGAGCCAGTCATGTCCTCCTGAGAACCAGCCTATTCATTTATGTCCTCTGTAATTGACATTTGTTTTTGGTTTATATCTTTTGAGTGATTTGAGAGTCCTGATGTACTAAATAAAGGACATCCTGGGCTTTCCACTGATATCTCAGGTGTTTGGGTGGCCTCTTTTAGCTCCAAAGAGGAAAGGAATCACAAAAATCCTTTTGCCTTGTCTTGATTCTTCTTTGCACAGATTCAAAAAGGTGATGGAATCATTCCTCTTAGATTCTGGTCCGTGTTGACATGACAGCATCACACAGTTGCTGCAGATTTGTTGGCTGCACATCCATGACGTGAATCTGCTGTTCCACCACATCCCAAATGGGCTGAGATCCGGTGACTGTGGAGGCCATCTGAGTACAGTGAACTCAGTGAACTCATTGTCATGTTCAAGAAACCAGTTTGTGATGATCTGAGCTTTGTGCCATGGTGTGTTATTATGCTGAAAGCAGCCATCAGAAGATGGTACACTGTGGTCATAAAGGGATGGACATGCTCAGCAACAATGCTCAGGTAGGCTGTAGAGTTTCAGTGATGCTCAGGTGGTACTAAGGACCAAAAGAGTGCCAAGAAAATATTCCCCACACCGTTACACATCCAACACCAGCCTGAACTGTTGATACAAGGCAGGATGGAGCCATGCTTCATGTTGTTTACACCAAATTTTGGCTTGATCCTGAATTGTATTAGTGGAAGAAAGTGGACGGATGTAATCAAAGTATACAGAAGAGCATCTCTGAACAGGCAACATACTGAATGTTGATGCAGATGGTCTATGGCAGCAGAAGATCATAGCAGGTGACACTGCTAAGAACAGGAAACTGAGGTTACAGCTCATCAGAAATGACCACAGCCCACCCATCTTCCGTCAAAGACAAAGTGCAGCCTGTCAATCCTCGCTTAAAGTCAATTAATTAGACTTAAACAACTAACCTAACCCCATACATGTTTTTGGACTTTGAAGAAAGGAGTTTGCATCCAGTCCACTGGATGAATCCAACCTAGGAGCCTCTTGTGAGGTGACAGTGCTGATGACTGCACTGCCATGGCAGCCTTCCTTGGTTATAACAAGTGTCTTGTCTTGGTTGACATATTGATTATTGTTTAAAATTGTCTAGTTTTAGTTGAATTTTTCGTAGTTTCAGTTTTGCTTTGCAAAGTCAGCTGACTTGACATCTTGATACCCAGTAAACATCTCCATGAAAACCTCGTTGGGGTGTTTGTGTTGTGAATGCGTTCAAACTGACAGAAAGAGTGAAAGCTGTATCTGAAATTTATATAACTAATTGTTAAGGTTCGTTTTAGTACTTAATATAATCATGTCACAGTCAAAACAGTGTTATTACTTACGGAAGCGTAGAGCTGCCACCCAGGCAAAAGAAAAATACAAGTGTATCACGTTATAACGTGAAAAGTTTATTGTTCTAACAATATACTTTTCCTGTTTGTACAATATATGATCACGTTTGTACAATATAATATTTATATTGTACAAACGTGATATTATGTTGTTCAAACGCTTCCGTAATTACTAACAAGTTGCCTCTAAGTCATTTTTCTGCAAGTAAATTCAACATTATTTATTTGTAAAAAAAAAAAAAATCAGATGTATTTTGTTACCAAGAAGGTTATGTTTTTAGTAGGATTTGTGTGTGTGCATACCACCATCCTGTCTGTAAACACAATAACTTCAAAAGTTGTGAATGAATTCTGATAAAACTTTGTATGAGTGTAGAGTGGGGTCATGTTAACAATCCATTCAAATTTGGCTTACATCCACCAAGGTCTTCAAGGTCAACTCAATGATGTATTTTTGGAAAATGGACTAAAAGCCTTATAACTTTGAAACTATGATATGTAGTGTCACTGTAGTCAACATATATTACTAGTTTTATTAATTAATATTCAATAATCATCAATTTGATTTGATTTGATGACTTTGCTATGCACATTAAAGTAACAAGTTACAACTGTCAAATACATAATAATCGAATACATGTACAATGTTCCATTTTTGGGAAAACAAAACCTTGTGATTAAAAGCTTTTTCCACTTCATATTTATTTAAATAAATTTTTATTAAACATTGAAATGAACAGTGTCTGTGGTCCAAACTGTAATAACAAGAAATGATATAAAAAAAAATTTATGTACTTTTTTTTATTGAACAGCAAGCAGAAATACTTGTGTGTGTGATTTCCATGAGGTCTTTAGGTTAAAGGCTTTATCTAATTCCAGTGATCTATAGTGTAAAAAAGTATATTAGTATGGAAAGATACTGAGGCAGTGAGGAAAAAATGAAAGAAGCACAAAACATAGTGACCAAAAAACATGAAAATCATGTGGGAAGACAAAAACAAACTCCAAAGGATTTAAAAAAGGGAAGCAAAATTGTTAATAATAAATAATAATAAGAGAAATTAATAGTCTTTTTGTCAGTCTCCAAATAAAAGCAACAATCTATTCAAAATACAGTTGGAAAATGAAAAAAAAAAAACCCACAATGCATCTCAAATCCAACAGAATGAAAGTGAAAGCAGGGCGTTGTTTAGTATGGAAGGTTGTTTCCTGCCCTTGTAAGGCTTTGGTTTAAGTTTGAAACTCTTAAATTACTGACCATCTTGAAACTTTGAGTTACTTCTGAGTAACTCCAAATTTCGAGATACCTAACTCAGAATTTCACAAAGTTTTCATAAGTTGTTAGTGAGTATCTCAAAACACAGAGGTATCTTGACATTTCAAGTTATTTCAAGCTTGAAATTTTGAGATGCATAACTCGAGACGTGAAATTTTGAGATACATAAATCTAAATTTTACGTTGATTTGAGTAAAGTTGTTAGATTAGTTTTCAGTTTGTAATTTTGATTTATTATGTCTTAATGTTAAAATAAAAATCTTGAGATTTTGATTTATTCAGACCAAATTTTTGACATATATAATGTGAATACTTGCATTATGAACCCCAAATTTCACATTAGGTATTTTAAAATGTCACATTACTGACGGATTATTTCAAAATTTCAACTTACTCAGAAGTAACCAAAGGTTTTTAAGATATGTTATCTTGGAATTTTAAGTTATTAGCTGAAATTTTTGAATAACATAAATCAAAATTTTGAGTTATCACCTTGAAATTTCGAGGCTTTTGGATGGCAAAAAATATTCACTCTTTTACTGGCAGAAGAAAGCTTAAAAAAATTGGGAAAATGACACAATAATGAAGTAACTTTTAGTATATTTTTTTATGTGTCTTTCTGTATTTTTAACCACACAATGAATTTATTGAATTTTACCCTTTTTACAGAAATGTACATTATATAAAAAATGATAATATATTGGCAGCAAATGATCAGTATATTTTTTGTTTTGTATTTATTTTTGGTGGATGAGTATATACATGAGTGTATGAGTGTATATAGGATGACCTCAATGACCCACAGTACATTTGTAATGTACTGTGAAACGTTTCCATAGTCTTTAGGAAGAAAAATTATAAAAAATAAAAATAAAATAATAAAAAATAAAACCAGTTCTATATCTCCCAAGATTAAAGTCAAATATGTGGAAAAAGGGATCAAATAGTTTTGCAGCCAATTCTGCCTCAGGGGTCCCTGGAGGCCCCTCAGGCCTCAAAATGGGACCCGCCGGTTCAGGCTGTGACTCAGTATGAGGCCCCATCCCAACCCTCACATCCAGGTTACCCTTAACTTTTTCCTCTTTCTTTTTTCCCCTTTTGGCCATGCAGAGTTCGTGTATGTGAGGAAACGTGCATCACCTCTCCCATCTGCTGGCTGGTTGAGCTCGGCGCATGCGCAGTGCAGCTCTCCATCATTTCCAATATCCCAGTGTAGGAGAACCAGCAGAGGCAGAGAACTAATGGGTAGGCTGCTTATTCTTATTTTTCCTAAGCTTGCAGACGCACTATTGCTCGCCCGTTTCGCTGTTTCGGCTCCGGTACGCATTCGCCGGGATGCCCGGGTAAGAACGGACAGTTTACGGTTTGATTTGACGCAGACAGAAACGTTAGTGCCTGAAAAGCGTCTCTCTCTCTCCCTCTCTCTCTCTTCTTCTTCTTCGCTCTCCCCTCTGCAAACGCAACGGGCTTGCACGGCTGTTAGCTAGCATGCTAAGCTAACCCGTGCTAACTCGGCCTTACCCCTGGCCTTGCCTGCCCCCCTCCCCCTTTGGCTCGAAACCTCAACGACCGGGCCTAGCTGCTTCTTCTCTCTCTTTTTTTTTTACTTCGACAATTTGAAGTCGGAACCCCGGGCCTGCTGGTCCCCGGCATGCACGAACCCAGCTCCGCGGTTCCAATTAAATGCTGAAACGTTATTAGCGTAGCCGAGCTCGTCCTAATTCATTTTCGTTACAACAAGCTAGCTAAGCTAACGGCAGCTAGACAGCTGACGCTTGGCAGGCTAACCCCCCAGCTAGTTCAGCTAGTTCATATACAGTGCATCAAAAAGGCAGTCAGACAGGACTGATCCCGCTTGTTGACACGGTCCCCTCTTAATGCGGAGGCCCCTCACACGATGGAGCCCGAGCTAATGGTTATTAAACCAACATTTGGCTCAGTTGATGAGCAGCCCCAGCTAATGTCCACCAGGCTAATTGGCTATTATCTAACGTTTAGGTTGTTTTGGTTGTGTACACAAGCGGTTGTCATCTTCCTCCGGCTTCGGGTGGGTAAAAAAAGTCTTGTCATTCAGGCTATGTGGCTGTCAACTTTGAAGGCTGCTGCAGGACAATATGGCTCATTTATCCCCGAAGCTTTCCTTAGCCAAATCCAGCAGGCAGGAGCTACAGCAAGATTTAAGTGCTGTGCTGAGAATTAATGGGTTTAATCTAGCCAGCGGTGGATATCTTATGGGTCAGGACAGCGTGTCTAACCTTTGTGGTGTTGCAGGTTTATGCTTAGCAAATAGAAGGTGCTTTGTGCTGGTAGCTCTTCACTTTCATGAAACTGGACAGCTGTAAATATAGATGGAAATTCACAAAAAAACCTTCATATTGAACATCTTCAGCGCAGTCTCGCAGCAGTTTATGAATTAGTTGCAACCTTTAATCTATTGATTAGTGTTTCATGTACTGTACTCATGTACTGATTTGTGTCGGTGTACGGCAGATTAATGTTTTCCACTTTAAAAAGGTGAAAGGCAATAGAAAAGTCTTTAGCGGCCCCTCATTTCTGTATACTTTTCTAGGAAATGGGAAATGTGTGCAAACATAAATGAAGATGCAGTATATAAAAATGGACCTGTACAGTTCTGCTAGGCTTGAATGTCAATATCTGGTGTGACCACCTTTACTCTTCAACACAGTCTGAACTCTCTTAGGTAGCGTTCTTGTCATTTCTTTAAGTAGTCTTCTGGAATAGTTCTCCAGGATTCTTGAAGGACATTCAAAGCTTTTCTTTGGATGTTGGATGCCTTTGGTTCTGTTCTTAGTTATTATCAGGTCCGGGCTCTGGGGAGGCCAATCCATGACTGACAGTGTAGCATTTTGTTTTCTTTTAGTGCACTGGTAGTGTTTTTGGGATCATTGGTGCATCAAAATCAGACTTCTCTGCATTCATACTTGTTTTACCAACAGTTTCGACAAGATTTCCCACATCAGTGGCTGAAATCTAGTCCCAAACCATGATAGAACCACTCACAGTTGTACCTCTCTTTACATACTGGCAACAATTTGAAACAAAAATGTCAAATTTGGATTCATCACTCCGTAAGACCCGTTACAACTGATTTTCCAGGCAGCCCTTTTGTGATTTTGCATAAGAAAATGACTTTAATATACTGTTCATCTGCTGTAGGCCTTCCAAGTCTTCTTGTGTCCTCTACTTGTTCAGTTTCCTCAGATTTTTTTTAAGGACATGCTGCACACCATGCTGAGACAAACCAGCTAATAGCTCTTTGGGAATCAGTTTGTTACTTTTTGAACCTGTCAGTCTGTGTTATTGTTGGCATTTTTCATAGATTCGACTAAATAAATAAGGAAAAACTATGACTGGACTGAACCCCAGTGGGGGAAAAAAAACATTAAATGCCCAAAGAAAAACTTTGGGAGACCCCCAGAAAGCCTGGAGAACTATTGTTCAAGCTTTAAAAAATAGCAAAGTCTGGCTCATCTGAAGCAAAATATAAAGAAATAAGGGGTGGCTGAAGATTTTCACAATACTCAGGTATAGGTTTAGGTAGGGCTGTTCGATATAACGATATATACCGGATGACGATATAAAAACGTCTATCGTTTAATTTTACGCTATCGTTTATTTTGTGGTGTCGCAAAATAAACTGTTTACGGCATTTTTATTTATTTTTTATCGTTTTGATGGTCACTGTAGTGGCTATATTAATTTCTTAAAGTTCTCTCTTTCTCTTTTATTTAATATAACCACACTAGGGACGGACAAGCGCCTGTATTTATGCGTTGACGTTAGCAACAACGACAGTAAAACCATTGCATCACGTGTCCGCTTGTTTATTTTCCACATAAATCCTTCACAATAAAGCTCAACATCCTGTTGAGACTTTTCAAAATAAACTGAATCACGTGAAAGAGTATGCAGAGTATTTACGGATGAGAAGCAAAAAAGAGCCGTCAGGTGCTAAAAAATAAACCTTAGACTCAAACGTTAGAACAGGCTTTTCCCCGCAGAACACTGTGTAATAAATACTCACAAAGAAAACGGTGGCCGTTACAACTTATGTCTAAAAATGTATAGTTTCATGCATCGGTTAAAACACTCGACTCCAGGTACATGACGCCCAGCTGGAAACACTCCACGTAAGTCGAGCTGCCTGAGATTCACAGAATTTACAAAAAAATGTTAAATTTTTGTGATTTATATCGTCATCGGGACGATAGATGTCTTATATCAGGATATGAGATTTGTCATATCACACAGCCCTTGGTTTAGGTACTAAAAGCTAATGTACAAGTTTAGAAATAATACAATACAAACACAATGCAAACACGAAATATACCATCTATTGAAATACATTGCTTATAAAGTTGTGCGACCTACCACAAAAAATCCCTATAATTTGTGTCTTTGTACATCAACAAATAAGTCTCTTTTTGTGACACTTTCATGTTTCACTGTGGAAAAAACTCTCAAAAACTGTCTGCATCTGAAAACCCTCTCAACATTTTTTCTTAATTAAGGAAAAAAAAAATGACAATAAGTAGTTCTTTGAATGCACAGATATCTCATCTAAATAATGGGTAAGAGCATTTCTACCTGTAATTTTTCCTCTTCATATGTATGTTTACCTGGACTCTAATTTTCAGACTTTAATGGGATTAAAAGCCCAAACAGAATAAAAATGCTCCATATAAACACCTTTGAATGCATCTGACGTAGGCTCACTTTGTTGTAATTAGGGTACTTTTTCCAGTACCGATACACAGGCACCAACTTTCTGCTAATACCATGTACTAAAACAGTACTTTTGTTAATGAAACTGTCGTTCTTACTGTGAGGAACATTTGGGAAACTGTTATGTAGATATACAACAAAATTTTCTGGCACAACTTCACCTAATTCCAAGGTGCATGAAGAAGACAAAGATCTGATGACATGAAGACTCCAGCGACACTTAAAGTATTAGGGAACAACTTTATTGGTTTTATTTGAGATTTTATTGTATTGTCAAAGATTATGTAATTGCGTTTGGGGCTATGGCAATGCATTTGCGCCTTTTACATCAGACTATTCCTAAATTAAAGACGTCTAAAAACAGTGGTATAATCTTTTTCATCCATTGACCTCATAAACTTGGTAAATTTTTTGCTGCGTTCTATCAGCTTGTGTCCTGCATCATAAATGCTTGTGGAGGTATGTTTCTCCAAGCTGGTGCTCTGTAATGACCTTATCTTTAAGAGTAAAAAGTGAAATAAAAAGTTGAAACAAATGTACTTAAAACCATAAATATTCAATTCAAGGAGAGATTTGTGACTTTCACGTAGAGCTGGGCGATATGAGATTTTTTCATATCACGATATGTTTTTTTCATTTCAGGCGATAACGATATCTATCACGATATAAGCCAAATAACTATATTTGTAAGATTTAAATGTGCCGTTGCTCACAAGTAAAATGTGAAATAATCAGCAGCTTGTTTTTATTTAAATATTTATTTCCCATAATAAGTTCAACAGGGTAGATGTACTTAAGGAACATGAGACTTTTTCAGATAAATAAAGGCAAATATTGCAAACTACACAAAAGGCAGCCGCTAAAGCGTTTAAGTTTCAAAATAGAACAAACAAAACAGACTAAATTGTCAATTCCACTTAGAAACAAAATATTAATTCTAAAAATAAATCTTAGTTTGTTTTACAGAAGAACAGACAAAACTGACTAACTTTTGTCAATATCAAATAAACTGAGAACTAAAAGGAAATTCTCAATCTCTCCTTGTTGTATAGCTTAGCTTTTCAAACAGTTTTAACAGTTACTTTAGTCTGACAAAAGCCGAATGACGAATTAGCGCTTCCAGTCAGAGACTGAGGCTACGTCCACACGTACACGGGTATTTTTGAAAACGGAGATTTTCCGTTTTCGTTTTAAAAAATAATCCCGTCCACACATAAAGGCAGAAATGAAGGAAAACGCTGCTATGAACATGCCAAAGCAGCAGGTGGCGCTAGATTCCTAACCGTGCAGAAATGTTGGCCAATCAGAAGTCTAGAAGCCTCGGTGGGAAAAAGTAAACAAAGCTGGGGCATAGAAGCAGAACCGAGTCGTATGTGTGGAGGGACAGTAACTGTGTGTATATGTAAGCATTTAAACACTGCAGAGAGTAGAATTAACAGTAACAGTATTGTAGAAATTCATTTCACCGAAACAATAACGTGGCGCACAGTGTGACGCATGCACCAGTTTATTGTATTTCCAGACTTGCTTTCGGCACAATTTACAGTGCACGCTACTCTGTTTTTTGTCAGACTTGAAATA